GCAGCGCGCCTGTAAAGAGGCCATCTGCAACGCAGCACTGAACTGCGGGTTGCCTACCACGCCGTTCACAGGCGCTGGAGTTAAGGCGTATCGGGTAGGCTAGATAACGTGACTGGGAGCTCGCTAAAGACCGTTTCCGTACTCCATGGGTACCACTTAAGCAGTATAGCCTGAAAAACCTCCACTTGCAAACATTTTAAAAACGAAAAAAAAAAAGCTCCAATGTGCATCTTATTCGTGAAACCACCCACATACACGAACACATAGTAATAGGAGGCCGGCCTCAGGAGCAACAAAGACAGAATCCTTTCCCGAACGCGGTCTGGCCGCTGGCCATTCCTCTCTAACCGTTTTTTTTCTATAAGGTGAAGGATAAAGCAGAGAAAGAGAGGGAGGGAGGATTTTTTTATTTTATTTTTTTGTTTCAGACTTGTCGCTCACCCAGCCACCCCATTGTACAGGCAGCAGCGCTGTTCCTCATCCGGTGTGTGCGATTACTTCTCTCTCTTTCTCTGCCTCTCATTCTCTCTGTCTCTGTTGACGCACTGATGGGCCATGGACAGAACTACTTGCCGCACTGGTGACTGCCCCATTAATCACCATCAGCACAAACAGGTCTCCGCTCTCTCTCTTTTTCTCTCTCTCTCTCTCTCTTAACGGCATGACGACAATTCTCGCCTAAAGGTCAGCCGTCTGGTCGATGATGTCAACGACCGCGAGCCAGCACGAGGGGGTACGAGCAAAAGGGGGCGAGGAGGGGGAGGCGGGACGAGGGATAGCACAGGACTTGCAAATAAATTTCACGGAAATTATCTCCGAAATGGCAGGGGGGTTGTGCCGTTGCCGTGCCGAGAGAGCGGGCAGGTGGGGGGAGAGACGAATCTGTTGGAACTTGATTAAAAGCCGTTCGCCTGGGCCCGACTGCTGCGCCTGCCTGACCCGCTGGACCGGAAACAAACCGGGAGGTGATCAGCGCCGCGCGCTGCCCCGGCCGCCCCGGCCACATTAGCAGCGATTGGTAAATGATTTGCCAAATGAATTGATAATATTTTTTTTTCCATTTTATTTTGCGCGTGGCGTGAGGAACAGAATTCCCGCGCGAATTAATTGCGCGCTCTGCGCCCCGTCGCACCGCACGGGGCTCTGCTGGGGCAGCATCTCTTACACCACCTTTTCGCCGTGGAGCCTCCCCGCACTACCCTAGCCTCGCACCTCGTTTTTCTCAATCTTTCTCCTAGTTTTCTCTCTCGCTCTCTCTCTCTCCTTCTCCACTCTCTCTCTTTCCTTCTCCACTCTCTCTCTCCTTCCCTCCCAGCGGAGTACCTGCGCGGTATTACCCGCCGTCACTCCTTCATATCTCCACATTTAGCCCGCCACGCTCTTATAGCTCTCTTCATCCTGGCCCCCAGCTCTCTCCTCTTCCTCTGCTCTCCTCCTCCTCCCCTCCCCTCGTCTCTCTCGCTCGCTTGCTCTCACTACCAGCTCCCCTTCTTCCGTTGGCGCTTTGGGACACCCCCTCTCTCCCCTACCGCCCCTCTCTCTCGCACACATTTCCCTACAGTCAGGGGTCGTCGTCGGACCGTACACAATTCCTTCTAATCGTTGCCATGGCTACGTTGCCGCCGCCCCCGCCGCGTCGCGACGCTGCTAGCGCGCTGGAGCCGCTGACGGTCTCCCTCCTCCACCCCCGCCGGGAGCGCCGCCGCCGCCGTGTACCGACGGTACGGGGCCCCGGACCCTCACAGTCAGTCGGGGCGTTTGAAGTGCCGTCCGGGCGGAGCAGTTTAACGTGGCGGGGCGGGGCGGGCCGTCTGATAGAGAGCGCAAACAGGCAGTGAGAGGCATACCTCCTGTCCCTCCCTTCCTCCCTTCCTCCCCTCCTCCTCCCCCCTTCCTCTGTCCTCCCCTCATCCCCCTCCCCCAGCCCCGCCACCAACGCGGCACGATGGCATAATCACGCTTGTGCAGCCGAGATAGCGACACTATTTACACGCCGAGTTGCACCCAATCACTGCGGGTCCGAGCCGAGCCGAGGGTGCTCTCCTCTCCTCGGTGAGCAGCTCCTCCTCAGCCCTCCTGGTCCTGGCCAGCCCTTAACACCACCACCACCACCACCCGGCTCCAAGTCGAGCCGCACCCTGCTCGAGAAAAAAAAAACTAACAGACCCCGGCGTCTCCTGGAATGCAACTTTGAAAATGACGTGGACAGAATGCCTGAATCATTGATTTTCAATTTTGCACGGAAAGGACACTTTTACCACGTGCAAGTATAACGGAAATAAAGAATATGGTCAGTCTTTGAGGTACCGTTCCTTATGCACACGGCAAATTTTCCTATAACGTCTCCAGACGTGCATATTTCTCTACACATGGCGCTGTAGGAGAGTGTATTGTGGACGTCACATACATCGACGCGCATTAAAGGCAACGCGTCTCTCTGCTAATGGTAATGCCGCCAGTGCTGGAACTGTCGACGCCCTCTCCCACATACGCACACACTCGCACACACGTACACACTCACACAAGCCTAGTGGCATCGCGTAATGTGTTGACTTGTTGTCCCTCCCGCGAATGCTGCGAGGCTCTGTTGCGCGACTCATCCTCTGCGCTGTGCTGTTTGGTCGCGCTGACACCCCCCACCCTCCCCATCCCTTTTACCCCCCACCTCCCGCCCCTTTCACTCTGTCTCGCTTTTATTCCTCTCTCTCTCTATCACCTCGTCGTCGTGTCTTTCTCACCCAATCGCCAACCAAACACGTGAACAGCCAGCGCAGTGCGCGCGACGTCAAACTTTCCCATCATTTGCCTGATGACTTTCTTCTTGTTCTTCTCCGGGCGGGGCAGGCAGCGTCATTCCATTGCAGTTCCGCCCGCGTGCCCGTGCGCCATGCAGTGTGGTCTCTCTCTTGCCCTCCCTCCCTTTTTAGCTCTCTCCCTCTCTCGCTCTCTCCCTCTCTCGCTCTCTCCCTCTCTCCCTCTCTATTTATCTTTCCTATCCTCTCACCCCCTTTCCCCTCTCACTCGGCGGCCCATAGCTAAACTTTCCCGTCGTTCTCATGCTCCGCCCGCGGCGCGCCCGAATTCTCCTCCCCCGGCTCTGCTGGCTGTTTGGGTGTGCAGTGCGCTGCAGCGCCCCGTGTAGGCCCAGCGTATTAATGAATGTCGCTCCACACGGAGGAAAGGGTGCCATTCACGCGGTGTGGAGCCGCCGTGCTGCCGGGCGGGGCGCGGGCGACGACGCCCTTCCAACTTATAACGAGCAAGGGGAGGGGGTCGCTCGGCGCAGCGCACAGCGGTATCGATGGCACTGTGCTGTCATCAACTTGTCCATACGCTCCTTTCACCGGTAAAAAAAAAAAAAAAAAAAAAAATCGTTAAAAAGTTTTCGCTTTATGTACATCACTGCTGTTTTTCCCTAGATGGCGAAAACGTCGTTTCAGTCACTCTCTTTGTACTGGTAGGAAAAAATACACATTTCGTTTTCTTTAGAAATATTTTGAAAATCGGTGAAACAAACGTCTAGTGGTTTTCAAGCAGCGGCTGCTCTTATGGGAACTTAGCACAGGGGCTGTTTGATTTCAGCAGACCAGCGCCTGAACGCCAAAGACTTCGTTTTCACCGTGCAGCGACGGCCTACTCCCCCCACAACGGCGACTCCTCCCGCGCGCACCTCCCACCGCCCCCACCTCCTACTCCCCCTTTTTTTCGCCGTTTTATTCTCTCCTCAGCCCCTCTCTGCTGCCATTTCCTCTCCTGTAAAGGACATCGCTCAACATCGATATCAGCCTCTTGAACGTGCCGCCCAGACTGGCGTGCGGTGCGGGGTGTCGGAAAGAGCGAGAGAGAGAGAGAGTGAGAGAGGGTGTAAGGTATTGGCCGCTTGGATGGGGCTATCGTCCGTCACGATTGAGCGATTCTTTTGAGGGCGTGGGGTGGCGGCGCGCGAGGGTCTAGATCTTGCAGCTGTCTGCGAGGACATCCTCGTCCCGTCCCTAAATTGGCATACAGGAGGGGAAGGAGGGGTGGGGTGGGAGCCAGGACGGGGGCCCCCATCTCTCTCTCCCTCTTGTCCATCATTTGGCACTCTCTTGGCAAAGGCGGGCCGCCGCCGCCCCAGCCCCGGGCGGGCCTTGTTTTATTGGTACTTAATTGCTTCGTTTGAGGGGAGAGAGCGAGTGAGCGAGAGAGAGTGAGGGGAGGATGAGGGGAGCGCAGGGTCTTGCAGTCTGGTAGGGGAGCGTTATCATAGGCGAGGGAGGCGCACAGGCGCCCCGGCCCGGGCCCGACCCAGCCCGGCCTGGCTGGTGGCTGCGCTTTGATATGTGATATAGCGAGGCATGTTTCATTTACCGGCACACGGGGAGGCGGAGATGACGACGACGAGGACGACGTGGAGGCAGGGAGAAGCAGGTAAAGCAAGCAGCAGGTTCCACCCTCCATCAGTGCAGCCGAGTCTGTGTCTCTCATCAGAGTCAGAGGAGGGCGGGTGGCGGCGGCATTCCTAGGGGCGCTATTGGACCCGCTGCGCTGCCCTGGACCTCCAGCTGTGCGGGGCGCGGGCCGAGCGGGCGCCTGGATGGGATGTGTGCTATTACAGCCTTCCGCCGCAGGGCGTGCAGGGCGAGCTGCCCACCACGGCGGACCCCCCGCTGATGGACAGATTCCTCCGGAGTTGCGCGAGACTGCGAGGTCGGCCCACCCTGCGCGCGCGCGGGTGCGACCCACCACCACCGCTCTGCTGCTGCTCCGCGCCGGGGCTCGACGGGTCCCCGCCCTCACGCCCTCGCTCGCCTGGAGTTGGACAGACAGAGAGGGGGGAGTCCGGCCGGCAGTAGCGGGGGCAGGCAGGGCTGTCAGTCGCAGCGCGGCACCCCGCAGCACCCAGAGCAACAAGCTCTCACCGCTCCGTCGGCCCGTCTCTCTCGCTCTTCCTCTCTCTCTTCCTCTCTCGCTCGCTCGCTCACCCTACTCACCCACCGCCTTTGCTTTCTGATTGACAGCGCTCACTCTCTTGCCTGCGGCGGGCGGATCGCCGCGCGGTGCGCCGCGATATACCGGAGGCGAGGGGAGCAGCAGGCAAACTGCGTGGGGCGGATGGCGTCGGTATTTGCCTTCATCTGACGGATTTGAAAATCGCGGGGCGGGCGGGCGCAGGAGCCTTCCAGAGCAGCATCGGTGGACCATTATCATCTTATCAGCGGTGGCAGCCGCCCAGCCTGCTCCTCTGGGTCCACGACAGGATGAATAAAACAACAAGGTGAGTCTGCAATCAGCCGTCGTCGAGCAGATAAGGGGCGCGCGCAAGAAGCGCGTGTTGTTAGAGCGGCTCGAGCAACGTGACGAAAGACGACTGCGATCAGACAGTGCGAGTCAGCAAGTATTCGTCTCACTTTATTGTCGGCCGAGATCGCCGTGCTTCAGGCACACCGCAAACCGAGGAGTTTGCTAGGCAGATTTGCCGTCTTCTCTTGACAGAAAACACACGAAAGAGACTGTCAAACTGTAGCAATTTTGAGACATTTTAAAGTAAAACCTCTGTAAAAAAGAGACTGAAATAAAAGTTTTACCTTTACCATTTTTGACCATGTCAAGTGATTTTTTTGTCGGCGAGAAGAACGTTTTTTTTTTTCTGATCTTGAGTAAATACATTCTATTTGTCGTACAACCTCGATTTCTTTTCCACAGAGCGGGACGCACTTCAGTCCCCTACGCAACGGCTGCAGCACGGATTCCTCAGCGAAAAGCAGTGGTAGCAAAGTGTCGCCCCTCCGAGGGTGGGCCTGGCCCAGCGGTGCGCCCGTGAGGCAATAACTAAACCGTCGCAACTCTCGCGCTCTCCCCTCCCAGTTGCGGCGCGGGTCCTCTCTTCTCTTGCTCATCCAGCAGTGCGCGCTTGCACTACTACTGCTCTAGCCCTGCTCTCTTCCTCCTCCAAGACGCGCCGGCGGGCGGCGGCCTTGTTTAGATAGCATCGCGGGGACAAACAAAGATGGCGCCTAATGCACTTGCGATGTTCGACCCCACAAGAAGTAGTCGCCGCGTGTGCAGCGGGCGGGGCGGGGCGGGGCGGGGG